AGATTGCAAAATTAGTTGGTCACAAATAAAAATTTATAGGTCACACAGTCACAAATCAAAACATCATTTTCATCAATTTTTATCCATTTTCTCAATAAAAATCTGTGAAATGACAAATATGGCCTCTTATTTAAATAAAACAAAACGAAAAGAAAAGAAAAAATAAAGGATTAGAAAACCAACAGTCCAAATTTTTCAAAAAATTATAAATGAGTCCCAAAACCAATTAAAATAGTATATTTATATTTTACTGTTAATTAAAAATATTAATTTTTTTCTATAATAAAAAAATTAAAATAAAATAATTGAATCGACAAAATTAGAAAACCAAAGCCCAAATCAAAAGTCATCCATCCCACCCCCACCCGAAAATCAAACCCAAGACAATAGTGGCTCTGCTAACTCCGACCATAACCACCACCCTCTATCTGTTAAATGGAAGCAAAATGAGAAGTTCCCCTTGTTCAAAAGTGGGTTTGCAGATGGGTCCATGGTCCTCCAAAGAAGACACTTTGCTTACAAATTACATTCAACTACATGGTGAAGGCCAATGGAGATCTCCTTCAAAAACTGGTAATTTTTATTTTCTAAATCCTCTAACTGATTTTTAGTCAGGCTATTAACGACTTTTGTTTTATGTAATGGGACTTATAAGCATGAAAATTAGATGTTCCAAACATGCTTTGTTTTGAACAAAATGACAATGATACTTACAAAAAACTCCTATCAATCCCATCCTAGAGATTAAGGGTCAAGTCCAGGAGGATGCTAGATTCTCCAGGAAAATCGTGTAGATAAAAAGTTCGAGAAATATATAGATGTATCTTAATAGCACATCACCCAATCTTCTTGATCACCATGATTTTGCATCCCACAAGAAGCTAAAGAAATGCAAAGCTAACCTTTAATGTATCCTGCACAAGTTTAGATTACAAAAATTCTAGGGCATATTAGGATGAAATTTATGGAAATCCATTGTTGTAGAAGGTGCGGCATGATGTGGCCAAGCAAGAATGGGTGATCTGCAATGGTGGGAACCACTGCCGGTGCCAAAATTGACGGAAAAGGCATGGTGGTGCGTGCGACCAGCTACGTTTTTGGTAGATTTTGGCCATATAAATATGTTGTTTGTTCATTTAGTTTATGGGAAGGTGTTTGAGGGTTGATGGCGGCTGTTTGTTGTGTGAGCTCCAGCGTTTTAGATGGCAATTGTGTGGTGGTTGGTGAGATGGAGGCCGGCGGCTCCATGAAGTCTCCAAAATAACGAGTGGGTGGGTGGGTGGGTGGGGGAAGAAGATGAAGTTATTTTTTTTAGTTTTGATTTTTAATTATTTGTTTGGGACTCATTCATAATTTTTTCAAAAATTTGGCCCTATGGTTGCAATTAGTTCTTTTTTTTTTCCTTTTCTGTCTTATTTAAATAAGAGGGTATTTTTGTCATTTCACATATTTTAATTGAGAAAATTGATGAAAGGGATGTTTTCCACAATGAAAAATGAAAATATGGGTGAAAATGCAAAAAATTGAAACGTTGGGACATTGTGCATACTATAGGCCAAATGTGGGGACCTTTGTGCTAATAAGTCTTTTCCATTAGTGAATATGACAATTTGCTTATTTCGATCATGATTCGGTCAGTTTATATTTTGTTTAAAGTAAGCGTTGATTTTCTATTTGATAAGAAAAGATAAAAAGATCTAGTAGGATATTTTAGGGTGAGACATCCAGACTTCTTTTATTTTATTGAGTATCGTACACTTTTTGTCCTGAAAGTCATGTGTTTATCCTCCTAAACTCAATCTCTTGTGGCGTGATTTTTTAAATTTCAGTCTATCCTAACATAATTTTCTGGCTCCGCCCCTATTCCTATGCTTCCTCGTCCTTAGTTCGAATCATATAAACTAAGGATGGTTCTTCTTCTTTTACACTCACTTTTAAGGTTGGCACATTTCTTGTTGCACTTAAATTGTTGGCCCATGTAGCTTGGACAAGTCCTTACAGAGCTTTCTTGATTTTCTTTGCTCTTGACCATGCTATTGGCCCATTTGAAATATGTGAAGATCCTTTGCTAGTCTACCCTCAGTGATATTCATCATTCCCTCATTTTTCAAAAGGATTCAACCTCAAATCGTCACATACATCAAAGGGAGAAAGATCAACAACATTTAAAGTAGCAGATACATTAAACTCACTTGCAAGTTTCAGTTTGTTGTATGCAATGTTATTAATCTTCCCAAGGATTTGGAATGGGTCATCTCCTCTAAGGTGCAATTTGGACCTTTTATTGGCTTGAAAACACTCATTTCGCATGTGAACCCAAACCCAATCCTCAGGTTTAAAGGTCACACGTCTCCTTCCTTTCTTGGCTTAGGAAGCATAGCGTGCATTCTTCTTTCCAATCTGAAGTCGAACCCTCTCATTGACTGACTTCACCACTTCAATCTTCTTCTTGCCATCCAAACTACCCCTTTCATCAATAGGTATGAATTAAAGGAGTAAGTAGATTAAAGCCATTCACAATTTCAAAGGGAGAATAAGTAGTAGTATGCATGGATCTATTGTATACCAAAATTTATTTGGTAAGCAATCCTCTCGAATTTTCGAATTTTTATTGATTACTATGCTTAGTGTCCTTTTAACTTTGGCCTATCTATCTATTTGTTGGTGACATGCAAAAAATAACAACTTTGTGTCCATCTTACCCCATGAAATTTTCCAAAAGTAGCTAGGAACTTTACATCCCCAACAGACACAAACTCCTAGGTATATACCATGGAGTTGCACTATCTCTTTGAAAAATAAATCAGCTATGTTGATGGGGATCGAGGTGATCAAGGTACTGACCAAGTTGATGCTCCCAAATATTCTCAAGATCCTTTGCAAGGAATTGGCGGTCCAATGACTAGGGCAAAGACAAAGAGGATGAAAGAAGCTTTGCAAGGTTTGATCATGGAAGTGCAATATAAAGAGGCGGTGCTAGAAAATTCTAGATTCTATGGAAGTGCAATACAAAGAGGTCGTGCTCGAGGATTCTAAAACAAAACTCGAAGATTCCAAAGCTTCACCAAAGATTGTCACTTATCTTTTTGTGCAAGGTATAAAATTTGGAAGGACAAGAAGAGTACAATGGTTAATTAGGAATTTTAATTGTAATCTTTAATGAATTATGGGCTTTTATGTTTTGATGAATTAGGCCCATCCATAACTATTGAGGCCCATTTCATTTTCCTTCTTCTTTGAAGCTAGTTTATCACTTTAAAAAGGGCAGCCATAATATTTTGTGAAGGGGGAACGTTTTTAAAGTAAATAGAAAAAGCTCTTGCTTTGCCTTTCTAGTGTTCTTGATTGAATGCTAGAATCCCACTTATCAAATGTGTGATCAACCTTTGTGGCGTCTCAAGATTGAGGTTTTAAGGACCTAGCTTCCTTAAGGTTAGAATCTGACCTCTTTCTTCACCTTCATTGCCAATCTGATTTTTGTTCCGTTTTCCATTGAAATTGTGGGTTTTCAAGAGGGGGAATCCATCATATGTTCTTGGCATCATCTGTTTTATGGCATGAAATAAAATGTGTCATTTTACTAAACCTATCCACTGGCATGAATATAGAAGCTCAACCCTTTATTCCTAGGTAGCCCCCATTACAAAGTCCATAGACACATCAACCCATGACCACTGCAAGTTACAGGGTCTATACGTTTTAGCAAAGACAAGCCTAACTTCTCAACAAGGATGGTACTGGTTGCATTGGTGAAATTCCTCCATCTCTGATTATACTAGACACCTTGTTGTTAACATAGCACCTAGTATGAAATATATTCTCTCTTTACTGCTCCATATCATCTATCTTAATTTGTGCATAGCACACCTTGCAACAAGTAATTTACCTTCTACATGGTACTCTACCTTATCATATCACTATTATCAACCAGCTGGCCATCTCATTAATCACTTTCTTCCTCAGTCACCACTTCAACATTGTCACACACAATCATTGCCCTTTTGTTTAAAACATTTAATATCCCTTTTCCTATCATGGGTTTACCTCTTCTTCTCTCCCGGGTGGCTCGATCTTACCCTTCGAAACAACCCTATCACTTTTATCATTATTATCCCCATTTCGGTCTCCAATGATTAGAAACCATATAACTTGCGGTTCCTTTTCTTTTCAATATACTCTCAATCTTCATAGCAACCATGTCCTCCTCCAGTTCTACATAGTACTACAACTCAACTATATTGTCTATGTCCCTAATTAACCTATTAAAAAATATGGCATGGTGGTCTTCCTATCGTCCTCAACATTAGCCTAACCATAACCACCTTTATCTCCTTATATAATCCTTCATGCTCTTTGAACCTTGAGCAAGGCTCTACAATTACTTGTGTTAGGTCCTTATGATAATGACTAGGTACAAATCTTATCCTCATGAGAGCTTTCAATTCAGCCTAGGTTTCCACATGTCTCTCGTGGTTCTTATAGAACTCCAAAATTTTATGAGTTGTGTTGTATATAAATCTACTTGTTAATTGATAGAAATTGTCATCGTTATGTAAGTCAATTTGTTATGCCTAATTGTTAAATAGATACATATGATTTTCCTTAATAGTTGAGGGACTAAAGTGAAAATAAGTATTTAATTTTGTACTTTTAGTTCATTGGGCCAAATAGTTGAAGGAGTTAGAATTACGGGTTAATTAGGCCAAATACCCTCCAAAACTAACAAATTAGAATAATACCCTAAAACTAATTAAAATCTTTAACCCCGTAATTAATACGCTCCAACCCCCAACCCCCCAAAACCTTATNGCAGGAGGTGGTGGTGGACTTGGTGGAGGAGATCATAACACGCAACGGTAACACCTATCCCTAGCTCTTTCTCTCTCTCTCTCTCTTTCCTCACCCCAACGCCCGTCCCACTCCCTTCCTTAGTAAAGCAGTAGACCCGACGGCTGCTCGTCACTAATCTCTTTCCATAGACCTATTAAGAGCAGTAAAAAATGTCTAAAAAAGGTTTGATGGAGCAGGACTTAAGCAAGCTGGATGTGACAAAACTACATCCACTCTCGCCTAAGGTTATAGGAGATTCTTATAGTTTGGGAGTAGTGCTGCTTGAGTTAGCTACTGGGCAGAAACCTCTTGGTGTGAGTACTGCAGATGAAGGATTTAAGGGTAATTTAGTCGACTGGGTAATTATGCTCTCTACTTTTGGTCGAATTAAAGATGGTATCGATAAGCGCCTATACGGAAAGGGGCATGATGAGGAAATTGTAAGGTTCTTAAAAAATCTCATGTAATTGTGTGGTTTCTCACCCAAAGGATAGGTGGTCCATGTATCGGGTCTATGGATCACTGAAGAGCATGGCTGAGGAACAAGGTTTCTCCTATCATTACAATGAATTTCCCTTACGATTTGGGAAACAAGAGACCATTAGTTGAACAAGGTTTCTCCTATCATTACAATGAATTTCCCTTACTATTGGGGAAACAAGAGACCATTAGTCCCGTTTTGGGAAAATGAAGTCTGAGTGAGATGCACAGCTAAATGGTGAACAAATTTCTCGACCATATTTCTTCAAACTGTTCATTTCGATTGGCGTTTGGAAACGCAGTCCATATTTGCTGGGTATATCTGTATAAATAAACTGATAATTTTATCGAAACATCAGTTTGATTGAATTTTTTGTCAAGTGAAGTTATTGTGGTTTTAAATGTGTATAATATGCTCTTTCCTTTATCATGTTTGCCGTACTAGAAAATTTATTAATTTTCTTATTCAATCCTGCATTAACGAGCTAAGCGGGATATAATTGGCCAAATTACTCCACAAGTCAGGCTACAATTAACATTGGCACCATTGGTCATGTGGCTCATGAGAAATCAACAATGGTAAAAGACATATCTGGAGTCTAGACTGTTCGTTTTAAAAATGAGCTAGAACGTAATATTACCATCAAGCTAGTATATGCCAACACAAAGATATACAAGTGTGAAAATGATTGATGTCCTCGACCTATGTGCTACAAGGCATATGGAAGTGGAAAAGAGGATAGTCCAATGTGTGATGTGCCTGAGTTTGAAAACTGTAGGATGAATTTTTTTTAATGTTTGCCACTTTTTTAATCTTTGTCAATGTTTGTCACTTTTTTTTAATATTTGTCACTTTTTTAATGTTTGCCACTTTTTTAATCTTTGTCAATGTTCGAATGTTTGTAGTTTTTTTTAACTTTTGTTACTTTTTTGAACGTTTGTCACTTTTTTTTTTTAATTCATGTCACTTTTTTAACGTTTGTCACTTTTTCTATCACCTTTTTAATTTCTCACTTTTTTATTATAACAAACATATGTTTTGATTGGTGTTTTGTTACCTTTTTAAGTATTTGTCACTTTTTTGAGTTTGTATCACTTTTTGAGTGTGTGTTACTTTTTTTGAATTTTGTCACTTTTTTGAGTTTGTGTCACCTTTTTAAAAAAAGTGACAATATTTATAAAAAAAGTGATATTGTGTCACTTTTTTATTTTACACAATATTTTTTACTTTCTAAAAACATTTCACATGATTTTTCAAAACACCCCTAATTTTAAGAGTATTTTTGTAAGTACCCCTAGAATTACCGTATCAATATTGGGCCCATTTTGAAGCTTGCAATAAATTGCGAATTATGGACTCAAGAAAAAGTTAATTTGAATAAGTTAAACGCGGGTTAGAGCCACTTAAGAAAACTACTTAGTTAATTATATTAGTTATCGATTTAGACTAAATTACTATATCAATATTGGACTCTTTCAATAGATGGTAATTAATTTTGTATATTAGGATTGAGAAAAAGATATTTTAGATAAGTTTTAAATAAGATAGAATCAATAGAAGAATCAAAATGTAGAAGAAATTTTATATATAATTAATAACCTTACCATATCTGTTCAGCCAATTAAGAAATTTGAAAATAGTTAAGTATTGATAATTATAAAATTTAATTAAGAGATAATTAACTAAAATCTTATCATAGGTTTATAGAAACTGTTAAATGCTTTTGTAATCCTAATCTACTTTAATAAGGATAGAAATTACATTCTATTATCTAATTGATTTAACTTATAATTAATGGTGCATTTTATTGCCAATATTTTTCATGAAAAATATATTTTTTTTCCACCTAATTTTTTTCATTTTTGTGCTGTTTAATTGGCAATTTTTTCCAAGGAAAATATTTTCCTATTTTTTGGTCACCTAACCATATTTTCCTTGAAAACAAAGATTCCTTTAGGGAGAGATGGTTTTTATTTTCTAAGTAATTCACTCTCTCTTTCTCTCTCTCATCTATCCGCCAATAAAAAATGAACAAGTATAACATTTTATAGATTGAAAACTAAATTAATCAAACACATTTAATTAATAATTTTGAATTACCTAGAACTTATTTGCTTTCCATGCAAATTTTATGCTCACAATCAAACTTATTCTAATATCTGATTAGTATATATAAAATACTAGATGTTCAATTCTAGTAGGAGATTGTAATATTTATCCCACATGATACATTTTAAAACGTACATTCGGGTATTAGTTAGCCTTCACATTATTTTGCAACGATTGCTAGAATTATCATTTTTCATGGTGTGACAATTCTCAATTTATGTTGGTAAGAGAATTTATACATAATTTCATGTTTGATTTAAATATGGAGTTGCAAGCATCCCATTGAATATAATTTGTTATATTGAACTCTCTTTATTTACAAATTTCAGGTCAAAATTAGCTTGCTTGACAGAGGTGGATGGATGGGCGTGCCATTGGATCAATGGATTCTTGTCACAAAGTACCTTATATATTTAATTTGATTAATTTTGAAGATTATAATTTTTAAATACTCCAATTTTTATTGTATATTGAACTAGTTTTTATTGATGCTTTGATTAAAGATATGATCCAAAAAGTTCCACTAAAATAAATTAAATGTATATCCTTAGTTGTCAATTTTTATTGAATTTTCCGTTATATTGAAATTGATTTCTTTAAGCACATTACGAAATTCTTGTTTGGTAGCGCATTGTGGTTTTGGTATTAGAGCCAAGGTGTAGAATTTTTCAAATTTTGATTTTTTTTTTAAAAAAAATACTTATTTGAGTCCTTTATTGAAAACTCATTAATTGAGTTTTTTTTATTTGCATATTCGTAAAACTTAAAGGTTTTGTTAAAAAGATCTAAACTGTCTAAGGAGAGTTTGAGATTTAAGCGGTCTACTTGTGACCACCCTCTTCACCTAGAAATCTTTTTAGTTGCACGTTATTCAAATCAACAAGACGAAAAGCAATGTTTCAAACTCAGTCCAAATTTAAAACAAATTCCATTTTTAGAAACTTTTATATCAAAAAAGGGGACCCCTATTTTACAAAATATATATTATACACACACAACGGACATGACTAAACATAGAGAGATCTCTAGGAATAGTGTAGTATGGTTGAATAGTTATTAAGATAAAATTATTTTTTATTCAAAGAAAATGGCACGACAACAACAAGAAGCTGCTATATTCAGAGCTTTATAATTTTTATGGGTAAGATTGGGAATGAATGTGCAAAAATGAATTACATCTTCATGTAAAGTCACTAACACTAATTAAATGGTTAAAGACATTAAGTTAGAGGTAAAAGGAAAAGTACTAAAGGCAGATTTGTACCTCTTGAGAATGAAAGACTTCGATGTAATTTTGGGTATGGACAGGCTGGATAGAAATTATGCAACTATCTTATGCCATGAGAAGGAGATTCTATTTCAAAAACTAGGGGACAACGAATTCTGATTATTTGGAACAAGAATTAGGACTCTACCCCTATTAGTGGTCTGCATTGAAAGCGAAAAGATGTTGAAAAAGAGTATGTGTCTCGGATTTTTATTGAATATTATTATAAGCCCCAATCCTAAAGAAAAATAGAAGATGTACCGGTGGTTAAGGAGTTTGGGGATGTTTTTCCCAAAAATTTATCTAGTATACCGCCAGATAGAAAAGTAGAGTTTACAATTGGCTTCACCCTTTGAACAACACCAATATCTAAAGCCCCTCACATAGTGGTACCAAAAGAATTGCAAGAGTAGAAGATGCAGTTACAAGAACTACTCGATAAGGTTTCATCTGACCTAGTGGATCCTTAGGAAGCGCTTGTAACCCCCTAAAATCTAGACACCTGATCTGGAAGTATTATCATTTAATAATCTTTTAAAATCATAAATGCGAAAAGACGATTTAATCTTTATTTAATATGATAGATATTAAATACTTCATTTATGAAATAATGTGTGCTTAATAAAATATACGACAATTAAATTTACATGTTTAATTTATTTTCAAAACGAATTCACTATATAAATGTGATTGTACTGAGTCCATCATACCACAAGTCTTCACCTCGCATCATCGTGCCTTCATCATTTGAAAATGGTAAGGAATAGAGTGATGAACTAACGCTCAATACTTAAACCTCATGCATATGAATTACTTTCAAATAAAAAGTATTTTTCAATATGTATCCCATTTTCTTTCATTTCTTTAAAAAAACTTAACATTGACGTCGTGAGATCACTTGGTGTATAGCCTAGCTAATTAGAATGCAGTGGGTCATTATTATTTGGAACCCAGTCGAGTCCTACCGGTAGTACCGCAAAGCGGTTAATATTAACATTATCATTGAACATTGATCGGGTGCGCCTATCCCCCACGCCCCATTTCTCACTCACACCTTTCATGGCATAGACATACACCTCGTAATAAACATTAAGGATACATATCTTTAAAGACATTTCTTGACTCATTGACATTTGGAAACTTTTTATTCCTTGAATCTTCATGTATGCTTATGAATGCATTGGCATGTATGAATATGTCATGACAAGCATTCATGCCATAAAAAGTAATGATCAAATATCATGTTTACATAATGACAATTTAAGTAACATGTTTATATATTTAACCATATGACATATTTATGAAATTAAAGAGAGGTTTACTTACCTCAAATCCTTAGCGATTTACATTAAGAATGTCAGGTGACGCCCAAGAAGTCTACGTGCCAAATATCCTAGCCATTAATATTCATTTAGAATTTCTACAAAATTCATCCTAAATTCAATCCATATCCCTATTCTTTAAGATAACTTAGTCATTATTATTAGGAGCCAATATGTAAAATAAAAGGTGCTCATGATCAATAGAAATTTAAAAGTGAAACTTATTGTCAAAATCACTATGACCCATAACGGTTCCATTTAGTTTCTTTTTGTATATAAACAAGATAACTAATTTCTAACTTCCATAGATCAAACTAAATACTAATTTTAGAAGGTAGCAGAAATCTGGTACAAATAAAATAATAAAATTATCGACAAATGAAACTCGTGATTTTATGATGAATAGTGTTTTTATTAAAAGTATACAAAACTTTGCTTATATCCTCATATGAATAAGACTCACACTCGTGTAACTATTTACTTGGGCGATAAAATTACTAGATGTTAATTAC